CCAAATAAATTCTCTAAAGTAATTTTGCCTCAATTCTGTGAACTAAAATAAAATTTTAACTCCCCCTCACCAACTGGGAATGAATCCCCCCTCTTTGCGAAGGGGACCCCAGAAATACCTTCCTTGAGAAGGGAGGTCGGACATGCCCATTTATCCCTGCCTTGGACATACACTTTGTTACCATTAACAGGCCTAAGGCTTTGCAAGATCACACCTGCAGGTCATCAGCTTCCAGCACTAGTCTCTGGAATCTGAGTGTATGTCAGGTATCTTCCAGTGTCTTGTCTCTGATTAGCAGACTTCCTTAGCTTAAAAGCTTCCAAGCCCCCTAGAGAACTTCATTTCTTTAACCAATTGCTGCACCCTAACAGCCACCTATAACCTCCTCCCTTAAGATGTCCCATCATTTTGGGCCAAATCAATGTATGCTTTCCATGTACCAACCTACGATGTTACGCATAATTCTTGTCTCTGTGAAATGTATAGAACTAAACTGTAACCCAACCACAGAGAGACCACTTGCTCACTGTGAAATGTAGAGAACTAAACTGTAACCCAACCACAGAGAGACCACTTGCTCACGGCTTCTTGGAGGCAGCTGTCCAGGCCCTGATCACACATAAACCTCTTTATATTATTTTACAGAGTCTGGGTTCTTTTCCAGACATCTTCTCACAGTTCCTCTGATTATGCTGACACACGTGCTGGAAGTTAGCAAGATTCAGAGTGGCCCAGGACCACCCACTATTTTCTCTCAGATTCAGGGCTGGATTCCAGCCTGACCCATAGGTATCCTTGGACCCAGAGGTCAGCAGGTGCACGAGGTGGGGCCTTTTTCCTTTTGAGTGAGGTCTATACTTTATTTGGGCTGTTCTTTCCAATCTTTCCATTCTTGAATAGAACTCTGTCTTTGCCTTGCAGGCCAGAGATTAGGATTTCAGGGGGGAAAAGAAAATGGCCAGTTCAGCCTGAGCCTCTCGGCAGGAAGGTCTGCATCAAGGTCTAGGCGGTTTGTCAGACAACGGCACATGAAGTGGTTTCACCTTGCACAGCCTGCTTTTAAACCTGCAGCTGCCTTCTGCTGTTTGTAATACTGACTTTTTTTTTTATTTGTGACCAATTCCTGTTGGTTTTAGTCTTGAAAGATGAAGGTGAGTTTTCCAGTACTGAAGTTGACAGATTAGAAAATATTTTTAAGAGAAAGTTTTCCTTTAACTTCCCCTAAAAAAAAAAAAAAGACAGACAGACAGACCCTTCATCTATCTCCCCAAACTACTTGTAAGCCTTTCTCAGTCCCTTGGAGATGAAAATTTTACCAAATCTTTGAGAATTAGCTAAGCAGCATTCCAATTGACATCAGGTTTGAAAGACAGCTAACTTTCTTCAGACACACCACCAAATTCCTTTCCTCAATGTATAACTTTATCTTAGTAAAGAAACAAGAAACTAGTCTGAATTACTTGTTTTGACCTTTGAAAGTGACCCATTTGTAGTCCTTTCCACAGATGGAAACAGAAACCAAAATATTCCTCTGTAAAGTGCTAGGGACTGTCAAACTGAAGAGGTTAAAATACAGGGACACACTCTGCCCCTTCCCCGGCCAGTCTGATAGCAAGACAGCTATTTATAGAGACAACAGGTTTCCTGCCTGCCTTCTCCACCCCTACAAAGCTGGCTTATCAGCTCAGAGACAGCAGTGTATGGGGATCCAGGAGAAGATTTCACTCTTCCTATAAATTCACCTTCCCACATTTTCCTGCCTTTTCTAACCCCATGGGCAGCTTTTTTGTTTTCCTGTTTTACCAACCATCTATTTAAATCTTCTCTTTGGACTGTGTGTGTAAATGGTCAGCTGAGAAGCTGAGACCCTAGAGAATGGCTAGACAGATGGAGGCCATATTCCATCCCAGGACAGCAGAACTGTCTTCTCTTTGCTGCCTTTGAGGTGGTTCTGGATCTTGCGAGAACTAAGCTCCACTCTCTTTGGAGATGGCTATTGAGTCCCTGGTTAAGTCATAACCTTGATTACGGTTTACTGTTTTTAGTGAGTCACTTGGGAAGGTACGTTTGGTCTAAAAGAGGGAAAATTTCAAAGTACAAAAGCAGGAATATGGTCATTTGTCCTGGCTAAAATCTGACAGGAGATTTGAAAAGTTTTTTTTTTAAGAACTCTACAAATACAGTTGAAATAAATTAAGTTACCTTTCTTCAGACACACAATAAAATTCTTTCCCTCTGTGGATACCTAATTAAAAGCTGTTATTTAGGATGCATGGATATACATGCGTATGTATTGTCCGAGCCCTCTGTTCTCTGTACAATCTTCTTAGCCCAGTGCATTGCTTCCTTGCTGAGCCCTGCTGACCACAGACATCCCCTCAGTCTGCTTCTCTTTAATGACATGAGGTTTGCCAAGGATACTGTAAAACATCATTGGCCTTTTGGAAAACTTAAGCTCTCTCCCCCAGCTTTGAAATGTGTAAACTAAAATAAAATCTTAAGGCTTCCCCCCGCCCCACCAAGTGGCTGACTGACAAGACCCCCCTCTTGGTCAAGGGGATCTCCTAAAACCGAGTTGCTAGCCATGAGAAAGGACATCAGACAGGCCTTATTGTGTCCCCCTCCCCTCTTAGAGATGTCTTTTGTGACACATTAACAGACCTAAGGGTCTTCATGACAAGACATACCTGCACATCCCCAAAATACACAACAAACCACTTGGGTCTGGGCACACGTCCTGTAGTTTGTCTCTGACTAACAGACAACTACCCTAGCATTTCTATTCTCAGACTCCTGGTTTATTAGAAAAAGCCTAATTCTTTCTACTAATTGTCAACTAAAGAATCTTTAAACTTACCAATAACCTTTGAGATGTTGAAATTTTGGGGTCACACCTTCCCCATACTGGTTTTGACTTTACTTACAATTCCTGTGTCCCTGAAATGCATAAAACCAAACTGTAACCCCACTGCAAGGAGTCTGTGTGCCCAAGGCTTCTTGGGTGTGGCTCCAGGTCACGGTTCTCTACCAGTGAGATAGGTTTAGGCTATCTGTTAGATGTTTTAAGGTTATAAAATTGTTTCTGTGACATTGCTGATACTTGCTTGTCTGTGAGCTTATGACCTAAATTTTGAACCATTAGATTCTGGGGTCTACACCAATGGCCACAGGAACACCTGGGGTGCTGAGAAGGGGCTTGGAGAAAACGGGCTTCAAGGGGGATGGGAGGAAAGTCTGGCCTGCTGACCCAGGAAGTCTGGGGGGTCCCTAAGAATGTGGGCCTGAGGTAACCTAGGTAACCAGTGACTAACAGAGATAATAATCAGTGACCAATAGGAAAGGGCGATACTACCTGGAGCTACAAAGAGACCAATGAAAGAAAGACATGCAACCAGTTTCAAACAGAGAGGGTATTTATCCCTCTGCACAGCCTTTGCATCTGTCTCTCACCTTCTCTCCATCATGAGAGGGACCCACCTCCAACTCTCACGGGAAGTGTTCTCAACTTTCTCTTTGCTATTCTTAAATAAAATCTCTCTTTGCTACCCTGAAACTTGTGGGGGTTACTTTCGTCTACACTGCCTGTGGCACTCCAGTTCTACATCCAGTTTGCACTCACTTTTGCTTACAATTACCACCATGCCATAGTGGAACTTTCTAGCTCAGCTGAGTAACTGAACCAGGTTAACTAGGTTCAGGGAACAGGGACCCGACCCCCAGCAGACACATGTGTGCCCACAGCACTTAGGCCAATAGCTGCAGGGGAGGCCAAGCCAGCAAGTCTTCCCTGGCCAAGTGCTCAAGGCACTGTATTTATAGCTCTATATCTTTTGTCCTACAATTAAAATGGCTTATTTGCTACAATTTTCACTAAATATTAGGGTTACTGAGAATTAACATTGTAAAAAAAATATTTAATTAAAACTACTAGATAGAACAAACGATTCTGTATGCAAAGTGTATAAGAAAAGATGTGATTTTGGTTAAAGAAAAAGGTTATAAAAGGCAAATCTGGCAAAATTCCAACAGCACAGGCCCCACCACAAGCTCCTGACAGGCAGGAAATAGGATATCCAGCCTTGAACACAGTGCGCAGAGTAGGCAAGGGTGTCAAGAAGGTTCGTGAGCAAATGAGAGTTCCACATACCCCTCCTAAGTCTCTGAAGAACACTTTCAAATCCATCTAGTGTGGTGGAAGCCTAAGATTCATTGGAATAGTTTTTTTCTTTTAGCGTCATTTATTAGTAAGAAAAATACGATATATTAGTAAAATATACTTGTCAAACAGGGATATAGAATAGTTTCTTTTCTTGGTAGTTAGAAGGCACAGTTTTGATAACGCCATGACTAATTATAAAAATCTTCATTTTTATTCTGTACATTATGACTTTAAATCACTCTGTAACATTGTATCTAAAACCTGACTTTGAATTGTATTTAATAGAGGCCAAAAAAAAAAATCAACAAAATTAACTTACTGTGTTGTATACTCCCTGATCATACAGGGAGGACCAGAGAACATATGAAACTTACTAGCAAATAGGGCAGTTTGGCAACTTTCCTCTTCAAAGTAGCCTTAAGCACCTCAAGGCTCCATGCGTTTGTTAATTAAGTTTTGAAACTGTAGATCATTTGTGGTGATATTGGCTATTTTATTTAAACTTAACTGTAGCATGCATTCACTCATTCATCTATACAAACAGTATTTACTGAGTCTCAACCACATGCAGGGTTCTGTGTGTGCTGGCAGAAGGCTCACAGCCTGGCTGTCAGGAGCCCACAGATAAGTGGAACCCCGTCACCTGAGACAGCTGATCAGAGAGAGCAACTGTATGAGCAGAGTCAGTCATCAGAGTGCTAATGATAAGCCCCCCTTTACTTGTAGGAACTGATATTCCTAAATGTAATTATTAAGAAAAGTTCCAATACAAGTTGAACATTAATATCTCAAGAAATTATTTTTACATTATACAAAGCCATATGTGCATTTAATCCATTACCTTACTACTGCTTCTTTTGTTAACTTTGAAAAATCCCAGAAATTTTTTCTTCTCTTTATCTGTCTCATCATTGCCAAGTGATGATTTTCTAAAAGTTTCTGGAAAAAGAGAAAAAAAGTACTAAGTTATTTTTCAGCATTTGAAACAAGAGATTTAAGTATTTCGCTTTAAGAATCTTAATAAGGCTCGGCGCCTATAGCTCAACCGGCTAAGGCGCCAGCCATGTACACCTAAGGTGGCAGGTTCGAATCCCCAGCCCGGACCCGCCAAAACAACAATGACGGCTGCAACCAAAAAATAGCCAGGCGTTGTGGCGGGCGCCTGTGGTCCCAGCTACTTGGGAGGCGGAGGCAGGAGACTCGCTTGAGCCCAGGAGTTGGAGGTTGCTGTGAGCTGTAATGCCATGGCACTCTACCCAGGGGGACAGCTTGAGGCTCTGTCTCAAAAAAAAAAAAAAAAAAAGAATCTTAATAAAAGAATCTTCTACTCTTAAAGTTTAAGAGTAATTCTTAGAAGAAATCACCCACTATTTCTTTTGGAGCCTTCTGAGCCACGTGAAAGCCTTTAGGCCCATTTAGGGAATCACTACGGCAGCAGTTCTCAACCTGCAGGTCGTGACCCCTGGGGGGGTGTCCTGCATATCAGATATTTACATGATGATTCATAACAATAGCAAAATTATAGTTATGAAGTAGCAATGAAAATAATTTTATGGTTGGGGGTCACCACAACATGAGAAACTGTATTACAGGGTCATGGCATTAGGAAGGTTGAGAACCACTGCACTACAGGTTTAGTGAGTATGGCGGCGTTTTCTCTGCGTGTGGGGCTGTGCCCTTTTGGAGAATGAAAAAACAAACACATCAGTTGACGTTCCAGAGCAGCACCGTCCAATAGAAAGCAAAGAGGAATCACATATGTAACTCGAAACTCTGTACAAGCTACATTAAAAAGAACCAGGTGAAATTAATTTTAGTAATAGTTTCATTTTAATTTAATATACCTAAAATATCATGCTATCACATCACCAATGTGAAAGTCACAGGTGAGACATTTCACAGTGGTCTTGGTGCTGGGTCTTCAAACTCCAGTGTGTGGCTCTTGCTTTCAGCATATCTCAGCCTAGACTGGCCACATTTAGGGCCCAAGAGCCACGTGTGGCCTGTGACTGCTGAACTGGACACCACAGTTTTAAGGACTATGACATTAGTGCAAAACATTTAAGACTAATGAGTGAGGTACAAACACTAAAAATAAAGTAACTTAGCAACTCTCTGAACACAAAGCGACAGTGAGCAGCACCAGGAGGGATTTAAAACCATCCCATCAGATCCCAGGAACAGTCTCACGTTTCCACTCCTCTGCTGCCTCAGGATGTTTTCCTTTGTAATAACATTCTCTAGTGGGACAATTATGTGTTTTTTTAGTTCTAAATTCCCGACCTCCTTTTCACAGTGTTTTCCTCAGGATTTCAGGACCAAGATAGGTCCTCTCAGGTTCCAGACAAAGACACTGAAGCCCACACTTGCCGGGTGACTGACAAGGCAACCAGGGTCTCAGTTCCCAGAGTCAGCCAAGGCCACAGCAGCATCACTGTGAACTTGTAAGAGGTGTGAACCCTCAGGCCTCCCACACTTCCAGAGGCAGGTCCAGTGCTATGCAGTTTATCAAGCCCTAGGGATTGTTCCGCTGAAGAGTCTGAGAAAGAAACACACCTGGGAAGCTGTGGTGGGAGGCTGAGAGCAAGACACGCGCGTGTGAGGCACACTCGGGCAAACTGCTCTGCCTCTGGAAGCCTCAGCGCCTTCCCCTGCAGACGGGGTGACTGTGTGAGCAGCAGGGACAGTGCTCAGGGCCTGGCACACACAGCTCCAGCCTGACCTCTGAGTAGTATCATTCATTCACTGGGGCTCCTCAAGGCCACTCCAGGCCTTTGCCACTAATTCACTCATTGCTTTTCTACTGAGGCATATAGATATTATGAAAGGGGGAAAATGTGAATGTTTGTGGAGGATAAAAACTGCACTTCCCCACATCACTGCCTCCTGATGGAAAGCCAGGCTCCTATTCCACTGATGGGGAAATCACAGACTGGGATTTTATGAACTGTCGTCATAATATCAACCTAACAGGTATACATCAATTAATTCTTTATTTGCTAATATATAATTTCATATCTGACAGAACAGACATAAACGCCACTGCACTGATAATATTCACAAACACCAACAGTGTCCATCCTACAAACAGAAAACCCAGTACACACGTTCCTTCCACCATTCTGCAGGAATGGAGGCTCACATTCTGGTCCCGAGGCCCAGGGCTCACAGGTACACACACAAGGCTCCAGCAAGGAATGGGTGAGCCCCACGTCACACAGCACCCAGGCCAGAGGACCCACCTGCAAGGATGCAGCTGCACAGACGCCCGTGCACATGTACTTCCAGGTCGGTCAGACCCAAACCCTCTATCAGGTGGAGCTCTAAAGAGTAAAATATGCCACACCATGGAGCAAAGCTTTAAACTCCAGTGTGCGTTCGTATGTACATCCATAACCTACAGTGTTTTGGGAATTGAGTGGTACATTACACAGATTTAAAGATGCTCTTTGACTTACAGCGGGATTACATCTTTCACATACCCATAACCTGTGAGTCAAGGAGCACGATGAAGGTTTGTCATTTTTGCACCATGGTAAAGTTAAAAACTCCTAAGTTGGGAAACTGTATGAAAATGGATATTATGGTATCCTACAGATAAACAAGATACAGGACATGTTTATGGGTACACAAACTACATCACATTGACCACAAAAATGATAAACTGAGCCTCTTATTCTGGTCACTAGCCCTACAAGACTGAGGCCGGCTGTAGTGATGGAAGCACAGGGACAGCCCTGGCACCAGCACTGACCCCTGGTGGTAGGAGAGACATGGCAGGGGCCCACAGCTTACACTCAGAGGTAGGCCTAAGAGAAGGTTTATTTAGAGGCAAATGTTTGCTTCATACTGAGAGCGGCCTCCGACAGGGCCTCCTGTGAGGGCTCTGAGGTTCGACAGAAGAACCAGCTTGAGAACAAAGTAAGAGGACTTGGTGTTGGCATCAGCCAAAATCTTCACAGGACATCTGACAGTGTGGTCAGAGTGGCAGCGGGCAGCGGGCAGTGGGCAGCGGTGCATGCCCAGGCCTACAGAGCACACACAACTGGGATCGAGAATCCAGTTTCAAATGTATCCGATGTTGCTCATAAAATCTAGTTTATTTGAATTTACTCTCATTTATAAAAAGTTAAAAATTAACAAGAACGTGGGGATTCAAAATTATAAGAGAGCACTGTTTTGAAGCATGATGAAGATGAATTTAGGGTGCAGAGGAGTGGAGCAGAGTGAAGGTCAGCCAGGTCACACCACTGAAAATAAAAGCAGTTCAGTGACTGGAACAAGATCACCCAGAGAGCAAACAGGAGAGGAGGACCCAGGCCGCCTTGCAAATGCAGGATGGAGACAGCCTCGCAACAGCAGGTTTTCAAGTTCTAGTCCCATCAAAAGATGGCACACACGTGAGGGGGTGAAGGGATGAGTCTGGCTCACCTGTTGCCTAATCTCAGTCAAATCGGCTGGGACTGACAAAGCCTTCACAGACGCGCCCTCACTGTGGTGGAGCAGAGCACCACATAAGGCTCACTGAGGTGGGTCTACACCAGGCACTGCCACCCTCGAGCTGTGCCCAGAACAGTGCCAAGTTTTTATTGTTTTTTTTCTGGAAATGACATCTATTATTAAATAATAAACACGGACAAACCTTTCTGTAAAGTACAGACTCATTAAGATACACACATATATATGGATTTTAATGAATCTTTTGAAGTCTAGATATCTCCAAAAGGTTCATTAAAACCCCAATATGTATGTGTGTGTATACAGGGTAGACATAAAGTTCATGTGCAATTTAAATGTGTGCATATGTGTATATGTGTGTGTCTATCTCTACATATCTATACACATGCACATATGTGCTGAAAGCAAAAACTTCTAAGAAATAGATGCCAGGCATTTGCACACTTATCTACTACACAGGAAGTTAAATCTCAAACTCCACACTGCCCCCAACCCTGCAGCATGCAGTCAGGGTGAGCCCAGGCAGGCAGGCGCAGGCGCACAGAGGTCAAAAGCAGTGCTGCCTTTTCTACACGTACCACGCCGGCCTATTGTAAAATTCTGAGGAACAGAATTTGTTTGCTTACAAAAGACTCTCTTATTTTTTACCAGTTAGAGCCACACAGCAAATTCTCACACAAAAGCATTCTTCTCTGAACCAACCAACAGGAAACCAGGAAACCAAGCCATAACCTCCTGTCATCCCAGCAAGCCCCCCAGGGGTGCTCTAAGCCATATCTGTATTGTCTTGGATTCGGCACAAAAATGTCACCTCTGTGCATCTCCAAGCTCAGAGCCATGCAAAGTGCAGAAGCACAGAGGGGCAGGGAGGCCTGGACACACTGTACCTTGGCAGCTCAAGGAAGGCTCAGACTGAGTTTTGGTCAGAAGAACTGGAAAAAGCGGGCAATGAGAGTATGAGGACCAGCCTGGACGTCTGCAGGAGCCCCTGCCCCAAGCCGCCTGGAGGACGGCTGCATCCCTGGGCTCAGCCTCCTGCAGGCGGGCATCCCTGGGCTCACCCTCCACCAAGCTGGCTACATCCCTGGGACTGTCCTCCTAGGGCGGCAGTTCCACAGCCTGCTAAGTGCTGCAGTGTACATAGGTGGCAGCAAAGCCTTGCCTTTGCTTTGTCAGGCTGTGGCTACCAGGGATTCCAGGGGAGTGTGGGCCCTGCCTACAGTGCCTCTTCCTGTTCTCCAGTAGCTACAGGGCTCAGGGAGGGGACACCCCTCCCCTCCATGTATAAACCAAGAAGGGCAGAAGATGGGGCTCCTCCTGCAATACCACACAGGCCTGCCCAGGTCAGCTGCAGGGGAGGAGGGATTCTCAGCGATGTCCTCTGAATGAGCCACTTCTCAAATGTATGACAGTGAGTAGGACAGAATGAAGGCGTTTGGCAAGGATATAATCAAACATGTCACACCTGGCATAGCATAGGCATGGTCCAGGGGAGAAGGGTGCTGGCCATGGGGCTGGAGCAGGGCCCCCACAGCAGGAAGACTTTTAGGGTCTGGGGAGTGGGGAGGAGAGGGCAGGGATGCCCAAAGCAGTGGGAAGGGGGACTCAGAGGCTTGGGAGCAGCTGGCTTATACCGAGGACAGGCCTACAAACCCAATGGCAAAGCTGGCTGCAGCAGTGTGCTCTGGGCTCTGTTCTGCATGGGGATCAGAGAAGAGCTGCAGTAGGCCCTGACCCCACTGAACCCTTCATCTAGCTCCTGTGTGCTTGCTGGGGGCCTCTCCTTAACAGAGATTCAGGCTTACATGACTTTTCCCAGGGAGCAGGTTCAACTTCTACCTTTTAAGATGTATCCAAGTGTTCACATGTCACAGAAACACTCTTCCGTGTAAGCTTTTTTCTTTGAGATATCTAAATGCGGGACCATTATTTTTCTTTCTTTCTTTTTTGTCTTACCCAATGAAAACCATTTCCAAAGAGTCACATAAACCACATGTAAATAGGGCTGATGCACCCAGACAGTCCCTCCCACCGCAAGCAGGTCTGTTGCCTGCAGTGATGCTGAGAGTATTTTTGTCTGTGTCTTAAAAGGATACTGTATAAAACACAAGATGCATTATTCTCAAATGTCACAGTATTTTTTGTGAAGGGACAAACAGTCCATGTATCTACAACTCAATGGAGCTAAATCCTCTCTTGAATGTCAAATCAGATCTAGGACCCAGATTGCCAGGAAGACAAAGGCCGATTAGGGGAGAGGGACAAGGGCCGATTAGGGGAGAGGGACAAGGGCCAATTAGGGGAGAGGGACAAGGGCCAATTAGGGAAGAGGGACAGGGACTCACTCCACTGTGGGCATGAGTTACAATAAATTTGGTAATTAAAAAATACATTTTTTTATTGGAAGTTAGAAAAGAAGCTATAGAAAAATAGGAAAAACTTACTGTATGTATTTTAAAAGCCTAACTTATTCAATATTTGTAGATAAATAAACAGACACAATAGATGTCAAATAAGGCTCATCAGAATAGAAACTTTTTCTCAAGTCCATTTTAATAATTCTAAGGCCAAAAAATATAAAATTTTCTTTTGCCAAACAGTTGTTTAAATACGCAGTCAGCCCTTTGTATTAATCCAAGAATCTGCTTACACAACGCATCAGTCTCTGTAACAACATGGCCTCTGGGGCCACCACTGTGAACAGCAACTGTAGCTATGACCTCAGGCTAAGGGCCAGATTCCCACCATGAGTGAGATATCTCTGGCCAACAACGGTGAGAAAGCCTAAAGTGATTCTGCACTTGTTCCATTTTAGGAGACAGCTGAATGCTTGCTGCTACTACTTTTGCATATAAGCAATGTCTAAACCTGGTAGGAGCTAATGGCAACACAGAAGGAGAATTAAGGGAATATGACCTGTGGTTTTTGAATAGTCACGTGAGAGCATAACCTTGAATCTCTCCTATTCCTCCTCCCCCCCTTTTCCTTATCTCACAGGAGAGTGCAGGGTGACAAAGAGTGAAGGACATATTCAGGACAAGGACAAAGAGGCAGAATCAAGAGGAATGAAAACAGACAAATTTCTTTTTTTGCCTACATCAACACCGGTTTGGACAAAATTGGAGTTGCTTTGAAATTCATGTATCTATCTCTCCCCAGAGCTAAGAAAAGCTGCAAGGAGAGCTGACAGGTCACACATGTGTACGTGTGTGTGTGTGTGTGTGTGCAGGGTAGGGCGTGCGGGGCCCAGCAGGCCTCACCTCTCCTGTTGTCCCAGGCGTACAGCTCCTTTATCCCCAGCTCACTCAGGGATTTGGACAGTTCCAGCTCCTCTCCGGCAATGTTGTCCCTCAGGAGAACCACGTGCTCTGGAGTGACCTCACACTTCGCACAAATGACTGGGAGAATATTCTGGAGAGGTACCTCCGGGCTCACACGCACAACAGCTTTTTGTGTCCGCAGGTAATTCACTACCAAACGCACAGATTTCTAGAAGTATACACAGACAAAGAGAATTCTGTAAGTACACCTGCCCACAATGGCTTCAACTTTGTCAATTCTACAATTGAATGTGGCAGGATTTGTGTGGCCCCAATCTTTCTTCTACAAATTTAGTGATTTATGAGGGAAAATGGCATAATGAGAAGTGAAAAATAAATGTCTGGAACAACAAATTTATCAGAGACCCTCTTACTAATGAACAAGCTGCTAACAACACAGGAAAATGAACATCAGTGAGGGCTCTAAATTTAACATCCAACACAAACATCATCTTTTCAAGGATTCTGGCCAGACATGCACATAAGGCGCTTACATACATTTTCTAAAGGAAAATAGTTTGGAAGTAGTATGGATAATTTCAAGAAAACCCCTCAAAAAACATGGTACCAAATTTTTGTTTAAGCAGTCAAAATAGCCACATAAATACATGAATATTTGCATATATGTATGTGTCTGTATTTGCATATATGTACGTGTATGTGTCCGTATTTGCATATATGTATATGTGTCTGTATTTACATACATGTATATGTATGTATCCGCACACACTGAACATATGCACTGCACACACTATATAAAGCACAGTGTGCACAGACCCACGTGTTTATATATATACTATCAAAACAGTTTATGCTACAAATACAATTTTTTAAAAAATAGTAGACATACAATAATCAGAAAAATAATCAATTTGACTATAATGCTGATTCTAAATGACTACAGATAAAGTGGCCCATCAAAAAATTTAACATGCAGAGTTTCATCTGGCCAACGTATTCAGCCTTTATTGATCACCCAAATGGTGCTACGATGCTGCAGAGGAGGTCACGGTAAATGTGGACTGAACATGCCTCACACTCCCTTCCTGCCTGAGGGCCAGGGCTCGGTGGTTGTGGTGAGGATGTGCTTTAGGAGGAGAGAGGGAAGCCCCTGCTCCTTACCACACCTCTCCTGGCAGCATCGTATAGACACCTAGGCTCACCTGCCACTAGGGCCAGAAGTCCAGAGAAGCCACAGGAGAGTCACAAAGTTTTTACTTGAAAAATGAGGGAAAATCCCCTCTATACATTGTATAGAAGGGAACAATTAGAATCTATGAACCAACCAAACCTAGAAATTCACAGGACATGGACTGTTTGCCAGATTGCTATTTTTAAAAACAGAAAAATCCCTCAGACCTTCTAAACATCTAAAGGAATGAAGCAGCACTTAGAAAGTACAAAAAGGTACTTGAATTAGTTTCAGTCGATATCCAAAACCCTGGAATAAAGACATAAATATGATAAAATATTCTCCAAATGGAACAATGAGTAAATATTTCTGACATTAATTTTTGAAAACAGAGAAGTTCTGTGTCTGTGTCTAGATGCTCAGACCTCTAGAGATTCTCAGCAGGCAGCACCCTGTAACTGCACTGCCCAGCAGGGCAGCCACCAGCTACTGGCAGCTACTCAAATTAAAATTAATTCAAATTGAATAAAATCTCTGGTTCTTACAGTAGCCACATTTCAAGTCTTCAAAAGCCACATGTGTAAATTAAAAATAAAAACAAAAAAAGAGCTGGGAACAGTGGCATCTGACACAGTCCCAGCCAAGGTAGGAGGATCCTTTCAGCCCAACTGGGACAACACAGTGAAAATTGGGCTCAAAAGGAAAGAAAGACAGACAAGAAAGAGAAGGGGGGTAGGAAGAAAGAAAGGAGGGATAAGAAGGAAGGAAGGAAGGGAGGGAGGGAGGGAGGGAGGGACAGACTGAAAGTAATTTAAATACTTAAGTTACAATAAACATCCAAAAAAGCACATATGGCCAGTGACTATCATATTGGAAAATACAGAATTTTAGATAGACCATGTCTACCTCTGAAGAAAGTTTTAATACACAGCTCTGATCTGGAGCAATCCCCCTTCTATAATACATAAAGGAACAATGTTAAAATAACAAATACTTTTAAACATTATAAATTCCGTCTCCTACAATAACTCAATCAGTGCCTAGCTTTGCCTAGCACAGAAGTAGAAAGCTCAACCACAGCTCAGCTCAGCGCGGTGCTGGCCTCTTCCTGGCATCTCCCACACACTCAGACACAGGTGTCCACGTGTGGGCACCTACAGACCTCTGGCATCTTGGGTGGCCCAGGCTTAACCTTCTCTTCAGGAACTTTTTCTTTCAGAAACACAGTGTGCACATTCAGCGTCCCAACCAAAGTATTTGGTTTAAAACTCAAAGGCTGTTGGGTCTCCGAAGACCGAATCTCAAGGGCATGGTGAGATGGATTCAGGTGATTCTGAAGGCAAAGATCTACAAGTAGGTCCATCATTGCATGGCTGAAAAAAAGGAAACAAACCATGATTATTAGGAATGTCTGCACTCTCCCTTCTGCCCAGCTGAACAAATAGATGAATGAGCAAATTAGATGCGCTTATGAAGAAAGACAACAGCAGCCCATTTATTTTTTATGCATGATTGTATAGCAATATGGTAACACTCTCAATACCAACAAACACAACACTACTGAAAGAGCAAACTCATAACAGCTGATCAAAATCATAATGACTTGGAAAATAGCTGTTCTACTTAAGTCCATGAGCACACTGAGTTAAATGATCTACTGCTTGTTAGCACAAATGATATTTATGGGTGTAAAACATCAAATTTTCAGTTATTCATAAGTGTAATGTATCTTAAACACTAAGTTTTAAGTTGAAGATGTAATACAGGTTTCTTTTACCTAAAAAAAATTATGCCTTTTTCCCCAAGACAAAAAAGTGCCACAAGATAATATTCCTTTTTCAAATGTCAAAAATTTTCACAACATCCCCCAACACAAGTAATTATTATTACCGGAGAAGGGGAGTAATACTTCAAATTATCCCAAAGAACTAAAAATTTCAACGACGTCTGTTATGTTTTCATGGCAGAAAATTTTTATATTTAAAACTGACCTCTCTTTTCCTACAACTTTCCCAAGAAGTTGAGCCCAGGTTTTTTCCTATGATCTGTTTCCTAATAAGTAACTTGCATGGCAATTACTGCAGAAGATAATTATGGCTTCCAGGTGTCACCAAATGGATATCTAAAGATGAGGAACTCACAGGCATGTGGAAACACAGACGTGTGAGTGACATTAACAAGATGGTAGGTAGCAAAGGAGGCCTCCAGCTCACCACCGCCACAGAAAAAAAATGACTTGGAAAAGTTCCTCTGTAGGAGGTTTAGAGTCCAAATAGAAGGCTCAGTTGTGGGCTGAAAGTAGCCCCATAGCCCTGGGGACTCAGCTCAGCCTCCCATAGCTCACTTCCTGCCAACAATCCCATCTGCCATTTCCCAGGAGGAGGCACACCCATGTGCCTCCAGTAGCATGCCTGCTGGCCTCAGACCCAACTGTGGATGCTGAAGTAGCCATAAGACCTGGCTCCAGCCTCCCTCTACTGTGGTCTAGAGTCAGTACACCCTGTCTAGGGACTTGGTAGGAGACCTGTCTATCCATGACCCTGGTAGTAGGTCTCACAAGCCCAGTCCCAAATGTGGACACACAAGCAGCCATTTTACCTGGCTTCAACTCCACTCCTGGCTTCAACTGCAATCAACTCAGATCGCAAAGGCAATAACAACAGTCTGGAGACTGTTGGCCTTAACCTGCCAAAACCAGTGTGTAACAACTCAAAGAGATGTTTGATTCTTCAAATGCAAATACTAACACAAAGCTACATAGATCATGAAGAATAAGGAAAACGTGACACCATCAAAATAAATTAACAAAACCCCAGTAACCAACCCCAAAGAAGTAGAGATTCATAAAAATCTTTAAAAGGAATCCAAAATAATCATCTTGGAAAAGCTGAACAAGATGTTTAGCTGAGTCCTCCCAGACCAAAAGGGCAGAAGGAGATGCTGGATGAGTCCCGGTGTGGAACACTGGCATGCAGCAGTGGTTCAGAGTGTGCAGCGTGGTGGTGGACAGCTGGACTTGGCTGGAACTGCAAACACTAACACACCGAGGGCACACTCAAGCTGGGGGACAGCGGCCAGCCCTCCACAGAGGTCCCAGAAGAAATCTCTCCCAGGTTTTGGTTCTTCAGGAAAGCTAGGCATTGAGTAGAAAGATTGGAGAAGGGTACTTTACTGAGCAGAATTTGGTGGCCAGCTTGGGGTGCTGTCTGGAGTGGCTCTGCTATGTTTTGGCAAGAGGTGAAGTATCCATAGGAGGAAAGTTCCCCTACAGGGGGACACCACTGTGGTAAAGGACACCCAGTAGCTTATGTAGTTAGACCTCTTACTGGGGGCTTAAGCACCACGGTCTGAGTTCTGCCTGTGAGGAACTGACCTGTACTGGTGTCAGGCTCTGGGACTCTGGAAAGATTAGAGAAGTGGGTACTCCCAAGAGAATTTGGGGGCCAGTTTGGGGTGTAATCTGGAGCTGTCCTTCTGCGGTTTGGCAGCGGGTGAAAGATCCCTACAGGGAATATTCCCAGTCAAGGAGACACCACTGTGGTAAAGGACGAGAAGCTCATCTAAGTGGGCGTCTTGCTGGAGCCGTAAGGTGCAGTCTGAGTTCTGTAGGCAGGAGCAGACCTGCACTCCTGACAGGCCCAGGGACTCCACGGGAACAGCTGTAGGGGAAATCTGTGAGACCTGTCTCTGAAGAAATGTGGAGAACTTTGGAATCCCAGATCTGCGGGGGCTGAGTGCTGAGGTGAAGGGGCGACCACCAAGAACAAGCAAGCCGGCAAACTGCCCTAAGCCTAGGAACCAAAGAGAGGCTAACAGCTGTGTTGTTTGACCCCCAAATTCACATCGCCACCTGGTGTCCAGGAAGCATATTGCAGCATAAATATATTCCTACAAAAGTTGAGTCCCTACATCATATATATATGTGTACATTTATAAATATACATAAATTTTTTTGATTGTTGCTTATTTTTTCTTTATAGTTTTAGTTAATCTTATTTGCCTTCTTTCTCTTCTTTCCTTCCTCAATTGATTGCTGACATTGCTTACATCAAGCTATTTTAGCAGTTTTTTTTGTTTCTTTGTTTCTTAAATCTTGCTTCAATGTGCTTTGCTTTTTGCTAAGATATATGGTTGGATCTATTCCTAACTTCCATTTTTACGTTCAACAAGAGCGAGGGCTTCTGTATTTTTGTAATTTTTTATTATTGGTTGTAGAATTTTAGCTTGAATTATTCTCTTACCCTAGTACACTCCCCTCTGCATTCTCTCAGTTAATACTCTTGTATGCATCTCATCTCTCCCACATAAAGTGCCTGAGCATAAGCTAAGATAGTCACCCCTCCCCCTTTCTTGTTTTTTCCTTCTCTTTTTCTTGGTTTCTTGCCTTTCTTCTTTCTTTAACCCCTCTTCCCTCACTCTACTTAATTTCATTCAAATATAAGTTTAATTTTCCTCTATCTATTCTTATGTATATATATTATTCTTTCTTCTTTTCTTTTCATTCTTTTACCACTCTTTCCTGGGGGTGGGTGTGACACAGTGGTGGCCTGGCAGGTAGACTGCAGCAGGAGCCTGCCTCAAGGAGGGCTGGAGAACCTTCTACTGTTGGCCCCAGGAAGAAAGTAGTAGGAATCACGCTGCAGAACTATTCTACTTTTCTCCCCCACCCCTTTTTTTCCTTTTTCATCCTTACTCAATTTTTCCTTCTTGGTTTTTATGTTTGCTCTTTTTCTTCTCTTCTAATTTTTGGCAGAGGAAGAATCTCTCTGTGTACAGAGAAGTGAGGAATGCCTGATTTAGAGGAACCCACCCAGCCCAGCTCCTCATACCTCTTGACCTATAGGCGCAGGCTTAGCACTGTGCTCAACAGTAACAGTCCTTCTGTCACTCTCATCCTCCCTTCCTGTCCTCCCTCTCGCCTGCTCTTCAATTGTCTTCTGTTAGTACACCTTCCTCCCTTTTTGCCTTTTTTCACTTATTTTTCTTTTCTCCTACTCTTCCTCCCTTCTTTTTCTTCTTTCCTCTTGCTTCTCTTTGCCTGCTCTAACACTTATCTACCTTCTGACCTCATACCTAGAAGCCTCTTCCTCACCTAAACTCTGAGACAAGCTAACTTAAAGCAAACGAGGAAGTGAGAAGGAAAAAGGTGCACAAGGAAGTGAACAAGAAGAAAGCACACATGAAGCAGAACCAAAAGAAAAATTCAGGCACCATAAATAACCAAATTAGAGTAACTCCTCCAAGGGACCATGAGACAGTTTTTAAAGAAGACTCCTCCTATAAAGAATTCATTCCCTTGACAGAAAGGGAATTTAAAATATGGATGATTAAGACAATAAAGGAAATGGAAAAGAAAATGGAAAGATGGAACCAAAAGTCAGATGAGAGATATGTAGAATATAGAAAGATATGGATGAGCTTAAAGAAATGAAGGAGACAATCAGGGAATGTAAAGAAGCAGTAGAAAGTATCAAAAATAGATTAGACCACAGAGAAGAGAGAACATCAGATCTAGAAGATAAAGTCTTTCAGTTAACACAGATAAAGTTACAGAGTCAGAAGAGAGAGAGAGAGCAGAGCAGGCACGTAGAGAACTATGAGAATCTATAAAGTGTTCGAACATACAGATAACAGGAATCACTGAAGAAGAAGAAGATTGTCACAAAGGTATGGAAGCCCTACTGGAGACTATCATAAATGAAAACTTCCCAAGTTTTACTAAAGATCCTGACAAACTCCTTTCAGATAGATATCAAAACCTGGGTTGTCTCAACTCTAACAGAGTCTTTCCAAGACACATTGTAACAAACCTGTCCAAAGTCAAGATGAAGGAGAAAATCTTGCAAGCAGCTAGGAGTAAGCACCAATTGACCTACAGGGTCAGAGCCATTAGGATGACAGAAGACTTCTCAACTGATACACTCCAAGCCAGAAGAGCATGGTCATCCATTTTCAACATCCTTAAAATAATTTTCAGCCTAGAATCCTGTATCATGCTAAACTTAGCTTCAAAATTGATAGAAACATCAAATATCTTCCAAATATACAAACACTAAGGAAATTCACCACAATAAGACCAACTCTACAGGAAATATTTAGACCTATTCTCAACACTCAACACCACAATGGACCACCACCAAAGTAAACACCTAAAAGCCAAAGGCTGGAGCTTAGCTTCCACAAAGGCACAAAGGATAAAAATACACAACAAACTATCTCATAATAAGATGAATAGAATTCCACAACACTTATCAATACTCTCAATAAATGTCAATGGATTGAATTTCCCACTGAAGAGTCACAGGCTGGCTGACTGGATTAAACAACACAAGCCATCCTTATGCTGTCTCCACGAGACAGACCCAGCCTTGAA